ATGAGCAGCGAGGCTCGCTGAGCTCCAGAGCTGCAGTGAAGATCAGCGTCTGCTCAGCAGCAGAGGTGTGCAGCACCTTCAAACATGGGGACAGCCGTGGTTGCTGCACCCAAAGACATCTGTCATGGGTGCAGAGCATGATGGGCATTTAATAAGGCTTCAATTAACACCCTCAGCTTCCTGTTGCGCGATGTCCTGTCAGTTCACAATGATATATTTATCGCACTACATGTTCTGAGCTGCCGTGGCGTCTCCGTCAGTCTCCACCCAGGCACTAAAGAAGTGAAAAGGTGTTGACTGTTTTAGAAGCAGTCTGCACGTGAATTGAAATTACAGATAATCCAGTTTTATTGTACTTGAAGTCAACGGGTGAGTGTAAAAATGTCATGTTACCATAGTGATGTTAGGGGGGATAGAAGAGGACTTCCTCCAAAAAGTAAAAAAATCTAAGGTTCTGTTTTGTTTTGTTTTAATAGAGAAGGCCAAGGTTTTTTCTAAAACACTTCAGGCAGTCGTTGCTTACCCTGGACACAATTTAACAGTAACAACCGTCTAATAGTTTGGAAACGCCACTTGCTTATGTTTTGGTGTAAAACTTTCTACGCTGGTTTTTTGTCTGTACATACGGAGACACAAAGACATTTTTGACATTAAGACACTAGTTTTTGAAAACCTCCGCTGTGAATGTGGCAAATATCTACAAAATTAAAGAGTAATAAAAGAGTAAAACCAAGTATCATATCGTAACATTTTCCGCATTATCTCAATGTTTACATTACCAAAGGGCTGAAAGCATTTCCCCGTTTTGCCACACCAACATTATCAATGTAATGTTACACTCTTTTATTGATCGGTTTCCAAAGAGGTGGGTATTTGTGTAATTCAATGCTCAGTTACACTAAGTCAAAAGAAAAATATATTTGGTCTGTTTTTTCACAGTTTTCTGTTTTTTCTGTAGCCAATAAAAAGTATTGTGAAAATACACGACAAGTTATCTTGTCAAGTTGTCCGGTGACTAACTTTAGGGGGCGCTAGGGAGCAATCTGTCACAAGTGCTGAGCAAAATGTTATTATTTAAATACATTTTCAAGACACTCCTATGCCCTTATCGCCCCCTGGGGTTGTCGCTACAGCTATGAATCAATAAAATTAAAGACACTTTGACAAACTTTGACTCGAGCTTCATGACAGTGACTCACTTGAAAGTCAACGGCAAAACTGCTACAAATTTAAGACCCTCATCTTCAGGCACCAGGGGAAAAACAATAACAGATAATTATTAATTGTAGTCAGTTTCAGTGATGTCAGTCCTAATCTGTATGTCATTACTGCTCACTTTGTTTCTGTATGTGTGTGTGTGACAGAGGTATTATAGCTGTGGTGGTGTGTGGTGATGAGGTCACTGCTCCAACATACTTTTCTGTTTTCAAACAAATCCATAGCAGTAATACGAAAGCAGCCAAAGATTCTTCAGAATTTCCCAATTTTTTTTTTTTTAATGTCTGTTTTCATTCTTGAAACACTGAGAGCATTTTGTTTTCTCAGGCACAGCAAAGAGCGAACGCTGTCAGGGAAGAACTGTACAGTTCATGAAGCAGAGACGTCCAGCTATGAAAAATACACACAACGCTTGGAGCCAGATCAGAGGAAATGAGATGAGAGACTGCAGTGATCAAATGTATACAGTGTATAATCTCATCACAGTCATTAAGAAAGAAGGAACAGAAATGAGGCTTTGGCTGCATTATAGATTATCATTCTACTATTACAGATTATCATTGGAAAGTGCAAATCATTTAACTGAGCTCTAGATGTTTGAGATGAACGTGTTCAAACAGATATCTAAGAACCAGTTATTCCTGAAGCCTTTCTGTTTTGTAACCTCCTTTAGTCTATCTGCACTTATTAATAATCAGTAAAAACAGTACAGATAAAGGAAGTCAGAATATAAGTCAGCGGTCAAAATATCACATTTTATATTTGATATTTCACTTTAAATAGACAACAAAGTAGAAGTGATGGCAGTATGAATTCCACAGTGTTGATATAATGATAATCACATTGAGTTTTGATTTTTGTTTACTCTCATTAAGTATCGATATTAATTATTACATTAAAAAAAAGCATCCCACCAGTAATGTAAAATTGAACATGTCATGTGACCACTGACCAGAAGACAGCACTGACTTCTTGTATCAAGTCCACTAGACATCTTTGTTTCTTGATGGTCGCAATTCAACTATTTCGTTTACATAAAAAAATATTTTTTGTAATTTGTCTGTAATTTGTTATGACTAATATGTTATTAAAATACATATTCATGTTTTTAAATGGACAGTATCTGTCATGTGTTTTATTGGGATAAAAAAAAATCACAAAAAAGTAATGGGAACAGTATTGAAGAAATAGCCAAAAAACTAATCTGGTATTGGCCATCGCTAAGGGCTGCTGGAGTTGACGGTGACTTCAGATGAACCAAGATAAATGTCAAATCCTACAGTTTTTTAGAGCAGGAGTAAATTCATGTTTCACATTTGTGTCATGCTGCAAATGTTCAGTTTCAGCTTTTTTTCTTTTTTTTAAACCAACCAGGTTTTGGTTTCTGTTCTAAATTAAAGCCAGGCTTCTCAGGGATTTAATACATGTTTGCCGTGTTTGTCCTGTTGTTCATTAGGCTGCAAGGATCTACTGGCTGCTGTTTTAGACTGAAATAATAAGGACTGGGAACAAAAAAAGAACAATGTGTAGTTTGTAGTGACAAGCGATGGTAGTGGTGCAATCCAAAAAGAGGTGATGTAATTTGGCTGAGAAGAAAATGAATTAAACGGGTTCGTTAGTAATGCGTTATCAAGTAGTACTTTTTACAGGCATTACCAAAAGACAGGATAAGTCAGAAAAAAACATCTGGCAAAGGATATAAACTGCTGCTAAATGTGCTTGACATTTTAACTTTTACTTAGTACTGCATTGGAAACTTCTAGTCTACTTTGACAGGCACAGTTACTCACTCATAAACGTGACCCAACTTTTTGGAGTATGCTTCACATTTTTTGTCGCAAATGACACAACACACCACTACACACAACCAAATGTGACCTCTGTTTTTAACCCATCACCAAAGTGAACAGTGGGCAGCTTTAAGCGCCCGGGGAGCAGTGAGTGGGGACGGTGCCATGACAGAGCACCTCAGTGGTAACTTGGCAGCTTGTGGACTCGAACCTGAAACCTTCTGGATCCAAGTCCTAACCACTAGACCACCAGGGATATATGCGTCTTAAACGTCAGGAAGTGGACTTCAATATCATTCCAAGGATTTCTGGAGATCATTCCAGGAATGCGGTCACATGTGACCTCAAAAGCACCTCTGAATGTGATTTCTATGATTGAATTTGCAGAGACATTTGGGTCTCGTTTGGAGCAATCAGAAATGTACCGAGGGCTGGATATATGTAATCAGAGATGCCATTCCAACAAGGTTGAAAACATACCCTGTTCCTGCGGACACCAGGGTACTCATAATGACACTAATACTTTTTTTTTACTATTTCACTTACCTGACCTGAAAACTATGATTTATTGTGACAATGACAGGCAGAAATATTAGATCCTACAGGCTATCATATTTTAGGCTATAACAACCAAGAGAGAGAAAGACTGAGAGCTGTAGAAGAAGCACAGGTTTCACGATAAATTGTCAGAGGTGTAACACAATAAACTGCTAAAAGGTAGCCAAATGGTTAAATGTGTCAACTGATAACTAAAGGTACAGAACAGGGATCCAGATTCACCACATTGCAAAAAGTGTGTTTTAGAGTACATTTCCAAAATACTGTATCAATCTAAAGGTAGCCCAGATGTCTAGATGACCCTCCTGACACAACCCAACCTGGGATTCGGTTACTAGGAGGTACCTGCTGTAGAAGCAGGGCGTCTGGATGAAGGCAGGGGTCCAGCCATTTTTAATCATAAAATATTACTACAATGGTTACCTACCCTGGTCTGATGTATATCCATGTGAAAGTTCTAAATGGGAGCATGGCTGGTTCCTGCTTCAGCCTGTCAGCCGTTTGGACATTAGCCCTGTTTAAACCCATGTCCGTTGTGTACCCAAGTAGCTAAATTGATTGGAAATGCTGGCTGGGATTTATTACTAAAGAACAGCAGAGATATCTGGTTCTGATCTCTAACACTGTTCATGTCTAAAATGAGTGAATCAAATTTTCGGCCAAATAATAAAAACAGTGTATTTTTTTGCTCTGAGCCCTGTCCCTGATCTCTGTCAATATTTGAACTAAAAAGAAAAAATATGACAGCCACCTAAATGAGTGCAGAGAAGGAAATGTTTTTCTGTGGAGACAAAACTCATACAAAGCTGTTGCAGCTGCAGTGAACACCACTGTCTCTCAAAGCTTTGGCCTGATAAACTCCCAGAACATTCCCATCCCAATTACAGAGTCCCAGCATACAGGACATTACAGAGGCTGATTGGCCCTGCCACTGTTGGAGCGGCCAATCCTCTTTAATCACTCAATGCTAATATGGAGCCACTGCTGGGTTTGATTCCCAGCGCAGCAGTGTGATTGAACGAGCATGTTTGCAGGGAAATGCTCGGATAAAATAGGAGCAATAAAAGCTCCGCGGGACAAATATAAAGGCTGGAGCCTGAAAAATCAATTCTGCATGGACCTAAATGAAAAACGCTGTCTGACATAAGACTGGTAATATCTGTGGGCAGGCCCTGCCAAGGACCGGCCTTATGGAACCGATTTTTGAAGACAGAAAGAGAAAAACAGGGGGCAGGCTTGTGCATTTTTCATGCAGCGACTGCAGCAGTGAACGTCTGTGCCGCGTCTGTTGTTCTGCCAGATCTCCTCACTTTGGATTCCCGATCCAAATGTTAAATCTCAAACATGGACTCCTGTCACACGCTGAAGGCTACATGTTAGCAATAATCAGAAACAACGTCTGCGATGGATAAAGACTTCAATGTTGGGAAAAGTTACTGAAGACTATGAGGAAAAAAAAAGTCCAGAGTCTGGGCTGCAGGCTGATCCTGGTACCTATCCAGGTTTCATGGGGCCCGGGTTATGATGTTATATTTTGCCTCCCACCAGGGTTAAAAGAACTGAAGAAGAATTTCTGAAAATATCAATACATTTTATTTTGGCTTTGTCAGTCATCAAATATATCTTACTTTTTTACTGACTTTATTTTTTTTATTATTTATTTTTATTACTGACTCTTGGACGATGTACTGACATTTAGATATCTTTTTTTATAAACATTTGGAAATTATGGACGAAACTTCAGCTATGGCTAAATTTAAATTCTTTTGTACAAAATAATACTCTCAATTAGTATTTGACCCCCTTTTTCACTAATTGTAAGGTATTTTAAAGTACTTATTGCTATTTTAGTTTATATTTTTGCATTTTGAAGACTGGCTTTTTGGATTTTTGTTTTAATTCCAAAACTGTCAGCTTTCTTTTGGCTAACCCTTAGCCATTTCTCAACCATCCTTTTTGTCACGGTTTTCTTTTGCTTCTTTTATGTCTTAGCAGTTGTAAATCTATGATGTGATTGTTCAAGAGACTAGTTTGAAAAAAGCTAAGGGTAAGCAAACTAACCCTGTGATGATAAGAATGACCCAGGAGCGACTGCACCTTCTGTGAACACCGGTTGGCTCTGATGCCCCCAAAGTATTAGGAAAGTGTCTATGATCTACTGATGTAAACACATTTGAACATCAAGCTGAAATCTAATTTCTGGCAGTAAAGTCAGTTTCTATATTTTTGTTCTGTAGCTCCTCATTTTTTTTCAGTGGGTGTAAAACTTTTTGGCACAGCCTGATGATGTCGGAGCTGTAATAGGGATGTTGCAACATCTGTGCATCTTGGCCAGAGATCACATGGATGTCAGCAGCTCAGGCAGTTATATTTACACTACTGCAGTGTTTTGACTTAACTGGAGGCTGACGCTGGTTCACATTGTTCGGCTTCATCTCTTCATGTGTGCAGGACGACTGGTCATGTTTGGCAGGCAATCACAACATCTCTCTGAATTTCTTCAAACTACTCCATACATACCGTACACGGATACATGTGTTTATACATTACTCACTCTAAACAGTTTTGACAGATTTTTCTTCTTTTAGAAGAAGCTCAGCAATGTTCAGACAGACGCTCATTCGAGTCTCTGTTTAAAGGGGCTCCGAGAATGATTCAACTGAGGTTTAAAACGCATCGTAGCCTCTAAATGGTGAATCCAAATTGGTTGAATCTAAAAAACGCACACGTGAAATGTGCAATCCTTTTGGGAAAAAAAGCAAGTCCTCTAGTAAAAGAAAGAAAAGAGAAATACCTAGAAATGTTAAATATTCTGGAGGCCTTATACATTTTCCAGGTGGATCTATTTGTCTCAGTTTAGCATGAGGAAACACAGACTAGAAATCTGCCGGATTAGGAGGTGGATGGTGTCATCATTAGTGAACAGACGAGTGTGAAAATGTCACATTTAACAAAAAACAACAACCAGCACAGTCAGACATTCAGCCGAGTCAAGCTCCACTGAACCTAAAGAAAAGACGCTCTAATTGGCAGCGTTGTGATTGGCAGCGGGCGTACTTACTCATCGTCAGGCGTTAGCTGCACAGGTTCATTAGTGAATTGCGTGTCAAAGTTTTCCAATCCGTAGTCATCAGAAATCTGAGGTTTGAAGGGTGGTGTTGCGTCTTTCTTCTCCAGCTGCAGGGAAACAATTACAGAAATAAAAAAATCTTTATGGTACAATGAATCGGGTGGCTTTGCTCACAAATGGAGATAACAGACCATGTCAAGTAACGTGAAAATGAAATCATTCCTCAGCAGACACTAAACCATCAGCAATACATTTGGAAGAAGAAACTTTACTATTCATTATCTACACTTTTTGATTCCCCGAGAATCTAAAGGCTTTGGAAAAGCTTGATGCTGTGGGAAAAGAAGTGCAAGACAATTTCTATACAATTTCTGCAGCAATTCATATTTTTATTTCTATCCACCAAATGGCCATGAGGTCCGTGAGAGGCTGTTGTTTCTTGTTGTGATCCTGAAAACTTTTTTATGCAGACGATGGTCTGCTGTCGGAATAACTGAGCAATTATCTCAATAGTCGGCAGCGAAGTGTGAAGCCAGGTGGTTGAGTCTGGAACTATTTGTAGCTCAGGAAATGTACACAAATCTTAAATATCTGGGATACAGTTTATAAATCAAGGAGGAAGAAAACCTGTAAGGAGACAAAGGGATCGAGGCGGCGGTACAAAACTGCTCATGCTCTACTGGCTGGTTGTGATAAAGGAAGACGTGAGACAAAAGGACAGAGTCTTCTTGTTTGATTCTGAGGTGTAGGTTCAGGTCCCTGGAGGTGACTTAACAGTGATACATGTAAAAATGATTTCTAAAAATCTGTCTTTATATTTTTGTCCGTATCTGTTTTATAGGGAAAGCTAGTGGCTGGTGGTAACAGGATCGAGCTTAGTACTGGAGAACCACAGGTTTGGATCCCGCTGTGGTACAGGTCTGTCGAACCAGCAACCCAGGGTTAGGGTCAAACACAGAGGACACACTCTTTATGTTTCACCTCCTCTAAATTACATACCAGTTACACAGTATCCTCTACTTTACAGGAGAACAAACTCCGTATTTTGTCAGGGTATATTATGAAGGAGCTCATCCAGAGCCCCATTTTCTCCAGCGTAAATAAAAGGAGAGTGAGCCCAACATGTGAGGTTGACTGCAGCTCTGCTCCAAACGGTCAGTTCTGCTGCCGTCAGATATGAACACCTTGTTGCTTCATTTCCCAGTGAGCAGTAATAAAGTCAGGACTGTAAAAAGGCAGGAGAAAAACAACAGAGTGGAAAAGGTCTGAGGTAGCAGAATAATTGTGGCTCAGTGATTCAGCCAGGAGATTTTTTTTTCTTTCTTTCTTTTTTGTGGGGTTTGTTTCCATGGTTTCACATCAGTCCCTCGTCCTGTTAAAATGTGAAGTGAGGACATTTTCTGAGAAGACAATAAAGTCAGATGGGCACAGAGAGACAGGTTTGTTCTCCATCACAGCTCAGCTGTTTTCTCCATCTGAAAATATACGAGCTTGTACGTCAGGGTTTGTAAAAAAAAAAAGGCTGAGAGACATGAAATACTGTCGGATTCGCTTTGTTTAAGATGGTGCATGACTGTGGCTTGGATATAAATATACAAAGCTCATTTTCTAGTTACGTTGGTACACTTTCTACAATTCAGATGAGCCTTGAACCTTAAATTAGTCAGGGGACATGAAGCTTGATTTTTGTTTAACTTTTTACTACGCCTAAATGAATTCACCTGATTCACCTTTTCATGGTACAGACTTCTCAATGTTACATTTTACTTGTAACATTTAACCCAAAAAATTAAAAATAAAATCACCACCCACACTGGTGTTTTTCAACCTTGGCATTGCGACACAAAGTGGAGTCACCTGGAATTCAAATGGGGTCGCCTGAAATTTCTAGTAATTTATTTAAAATTATCCCAAAAAATGATTATTGTTTTTTCAAATTACGATTAGAAACACCACACACTATCCTAAACAACTGTATTTTTTCACTACGTTGAGTTCAAATAAAATCCAGTATATCAAAAGTCTTTGGTGGATTCTACTTTTATACTCAATACTGCCTCCTAAAGCTGTTAATACTACTGCAACTACTACCTACAATACATGTATTGCTTCTATTGCTACTACTGCAACTACTACCTACAATACAACATGTATTGCTTTTTCTATACTTGTTTAACCAACAAACACATAAAAAAAACTGCATTTCAGATGGTGAATACATGTTCTGTTTAAAACCACTATAAAACTTTTCAAACCAACCACTGTCTCATGTCACGCAGCTTTCACTCAAGACACTGTAGGACTTCATATAGTTCGTTTCAGCTCCACAGTGCTGCTCAGGTCCATTATGAGTGGCCAGATGTTCGGCTCTGTGTGGGCGACACAGCTTTTCACATTGTCCCGTTGTTCCCGTGAGGAGAGAACAGCTGGCTGTCATTTCTTGGCATGTGTCAATAACAGGAAAAGTCCGACTTTAGTAAAAAGAGTAAAAAAAAAAAGTCAATCCACAAAGATCGTTCTGGGTCTTGCTCAAAACAAATTAGAGATAGACTTTACAGTTCTATTGTTTTTGACTCACAGCGTGTGTCTGAAGTTTTACTGATTAAGACCTGGTCACACTATCTGTAATGCTCAACCAAATAAAAGTGAATAAAAGTTTAAAAAAAAAGTCTTCAGACAAGAATAAGTTAGTACGAATCATCTTTGACTGAAAAACACCACCTTCTGGTACAAATACCAAATTACCCTCTCACCACTTGCTTTTTAATTTCACTTTTGTGTTGATTTTCTCATTTTCTTTTGTCTTATTATTTCAAACCACATTGTGAGCTGCAAAAATCTAATCAAAAACAACTCTCGTTCTTTTTCTATTCACCTATTCTTTCCTTCACCACTCAGTGAGCCCAACTTTCTCCAAACTCTCTTTCTTTCTCTCTCTCCTGCACTCCCTCTCAAATTGCTCATTTCTTTTTCAATAGCAGCCTACACTCTTCCTCTGTCAGCCTCACCCCCTCACATCCTGTCTTCATCGTCCTCCTCTCCGATTGTCTCCCTCTTACTCATTGTTATTTCTTTTATCTTCCACATTCCCTCTCCTCTCTCCCCTCTCCCCTCTCCTCTCTCCTCTCTCCTCTCTCCACGCTCCTCCTCTCTACTCCTACTACTACTTTCCATAGTCCCTGTGATGTGTTGTTGGGCAGAAGCTCTGTGTGGTGGTAATGAACGGCACTGAATGAAACCAGTCTGGCTCCTCGTACGTGCGCGCGCACACACACTTCTGCACGCGTGTACACACAAACACAGTGGCCCTAAGGCTCCAGGGGTACATGAAAGAGTCAAGTGAAGAGGCAGGGTTATGGAGGAGAACCACGGGTCCTTAGATCACAGCACCTGTCAGGTGTAGTGTGTGTGTGTGTGTGTGTGTGTGTGTGCCTTAAGGCTAGGACCGGACGATGTGTCAATCAGCTGATCTCAGGAAGGTGTTAATGTCACTGAAGGTGAGCTGCAGTCAACAGGGAGAAGACTTTAATGGAGAACACACACACACACACACACACACACTACAACTACTGCATTAATCACCCAGTCTGAGTGGTGCTTCAGCTCTGTCCCTCTCTCTCCACCGTGGTGAAGGAGCACATCTCCATATGGAGCAGGTGATTAACATCCGACAACAAGAGCCTGCACTGCAAGTGTCGGCGTCTGTGAATGCTGTAACAACATGCTAATGTCTCCACGTGGTGCTAGCTTCAACTGAGGACCGGTTTTGTTTTATGGGAATTTTCTGCCCTTCATTATGGCTCCCAGGTGTAAGTCAGACTCTCCCAGATGTGTTAGTGTAGGTGGGTGACGTACGTAGGTACTGATGTACAGTGTGTGAGTTCTGACTTACTGCAAAAATCGAGTTACGTCACACCGTAGGAACGGAACTCCGGTTTTTACTAGTGTTGTAAAATACTGCAAGATTTGGTATCGATCAGATACCAAGTAAATACACGGCCTCTGTTTTTGAGAATTACATTTACAAATTACATGTCCTTAAAGAGGACAGGATAGAATTTGGGAAAAGTTTCTATGTTAAAAAAAATTGCATTATATTTTTTCAGGTAGTGATGAAACACAAATTCAGAACACAGTCTCCTACAGCTTCACTGATGGCCACATGCATTCCTCACCAACTGTCTTCGACTGCAACAGTTGCATCAACAACATTATTTAAACAGGGCGGTTCTTTCCATCTTAATTCCAGTCTCAGAATAAATGGGCAACAACCAGTGAAATGCAGTGCTACCTGTTTGCAAATAATCACTTTCTCCTCAGCCTTCATCAGAGTGACAATTCTCTGACAGTAAAGCACTGCTCGTTTGGAGAGGGGAATAAAAGAGGACAGCAGGTAAATGATATTCCAACGTGTCATCTCATCAGAGAGAAAAGTCAGCGCTCCCCCAGGAGCCGTCTGATGAATATTAATATGTGGTAACAACAGGAGCAGCATGCCAGGGCTGTCAGGTCTGGAGACAGGTTTGTAGTTTGAGGGCAGAGAGCGCTGCTCTTCTACTTCTCGCAGCTTTGTCACTTTGTTTTCCCTGTGCGCTACATGGCAGCTTTGTCGCTGGGCCCGGATTTCTCGACGCTTTGATATTCCTACCCCGGGTTTGCCTTTGGTGTGCACTTCACAGGTGCCGCGACAGCACTCATTAACACTCCATCCCAATTGTTGTCTTCCTCTTTTATACCCAACCACGCTAACGCTAACAGGACTAAATGTCCCACGGGAGACCGGGCAACAACGAGGAGCTCAACAGGAGTGGGTCTGATTCAGGAAAAATCTGATACAGTATAACAAAATCAATTTTTGGGGCACACTCACGATGCACTGTAAACTGATAAAACTTTGGCTAATATTTAGAAATGACAAAACCTATCTGATTCTGGTTTCATTAGCAACGGATGTTAAAAACACACAGTGACTGCAGCCTCGCAGTGACTCCCAAGAATAAGACCTTTGTGCACAGGTTTCCCGAGGCACATTTAATTTGGCAGGTCGGACTATTAGTTACTTAAAATGTGAATGAGTTTTCTTCTTTGTTTGAGGAGGGGTTCTGTGTGCTATGTTTTTCTTTTCCAATCCAGCCACTGACCACTCCTGGTGCTGGTCCCAAACCCGGAACAATAGACAGGGTTGTGTCAGGAACGGCTCAATTTTGCAGGATTAGCTGGGCTTACACAAGCCTTAGGAGAAGAGCCTGTTGTAACCCATCAAACATTTTTTTGTGCAACGTTATTATCTGCTGATACAATAAATAATTCATGAAGACTAGACCCACCAGTGACTGGATGAAATTAACTGAATATAAATATGGCCATCTGATAAAACCCAGCATCTAATGCATTTCATATTTAACAGATTACAGCGCCGATGATCTGTCATTTTGTTATTGTCAAAACTTCTGACCAAAAGACAAAAAACCAACAAAGCATCAAACCAGCTCTCATCACTTCATGAGCTCTCCAGACTGTCTGTGGCGTCCAGCCCACCCGTCCCTCCTAAAGACACCAGTCTGAGCTCATTGTTGGGTTTTAGTTCTTTCCTGGATTTGTTGAAAACAAGTTAAAAAGATGAAGAAACATCTTAATATTACGACAGGATGAGTCATAATTACAGGGCCATAAACTTTTAGTTGCGTACTAATAATAATGTTTTTTTAAACTGGCCATTTTTATTGCTTCCACGACCCTTTCGTTAAACCCCTGTACTACACTCTACTACCACTCAAAAAATACTACAAAATAGGTTTTTGTGCGGGTGTACTGCTAAGATACTAAAAGACTGGAAGGATGGACTTCTTCGTGTCTAATGTCATTATTTCTATGGAAAAAAGACTGCAAACATGAGCTATATTTTAAGTCAGTCATTCCATTATGACCATCTGTAGTGCAACAGGGAAACCCAGCTGCAAAATGCATAGAAATAGCCAACAGTCAGATTAGAAACAAGATGAAAAGACATTTCAAGTTCACAAGTTCTAGCTAAGCCCACAGCACCCTCTGCTGGATCACGCAGTAAGACAGGCAGGTTTTTGTCTCTAACATTTGACTCTGGAACACTTCCAAATTGGTATTCAATTTTAAAACACAAAGTGACAAAGTGCTCATGGACTAATGCATTTGACTACATTTAAACCGTGTTTATTTTACAGTGCTAGTTTCGTCTGAGCAGTCGCGACATAAACTAAAAGTTTTGTTGATCACCTAACACTGCACTTGACTGTTTACCATAAACCTCCTGACTAACAGTGTCTCAGCTGGATTCAAAGAAGCATGTAGTAAACAAACAGCCTGGAATCAAACCCACAACCTCTTGGCTACAAGACGACTGATCTACCTCAAATTGAAAACACACAAAACTTGTGAAAACAAAGCTACAGCTTTTGTCATTTTTCAGTAGACCCAATTACTGCCACAGCACTGTTGCATGATGGGAGTCGGATAAGTGACAATCTCAGTGTAGTTTGATACGGTAAAGATCCTTAATATTACATGACATCTTTCCTTCTTTCATTTCACTTTCAACCCAGTGTGTGCGTCATCAATCACACAAGAGCCACCGCGAAATCAACATACCACCGTAACGTACAACACTCAGCGCTTCGGCAGGGACGTGTGTGTGTG